CCCTTTGCAGGCCTCAATTGACCCCACACACACCTGTGGGGTGTAGGAGCATCTTAAAATATAAAAACAAATACCCAATTCCTGGAAAATGCGCTTACTTCTCAGCAGCACGAATGGCTTCTTCTCTAGCAACAAGCAAATGCTTAAGATCTAGAAGTTTATACAAATAGGTGTAGAAATAAATGGTTAATCTTGTGTTGGTGACCAAGCAGTCATCAAAAACAAAGCATAAAAAAAAAAAAAAAAAAAAAAAAGTACATTCAAAAGTCTCTGCTTTTCAGAATGCCATAGAGCTTTTAAAAATGTACCTGATGTTCTGCTGTGTGCTCTGCCTGCTGGCTGGTGGACTTCTTGCTGATGTCTTCCTGTTCTTTTTCCAAAGCTCACTGATGTGTTCGTGAAACTCACTGAGCATAAGCTTGGCTTGAGATTTGTGGAGAGGAGGGAGCTGACAGCATGTCAGCTTTCTTAGCCAAATCCCATTTGGCCACACTGGCAGTCTGTCACCTTCTTCTGGGATGTGTGCTGCAGCAGTTGTTCTGCACAGTCCTGTATGGTTGGTATAGCATGCCATGTGCTTGGGGCTGCTTAGAACCTCTGCAGGTAAACCTGGCCTGCTTTGCTCTCGTCCAAGCAAACCCAAAGAACTTAGTTGCTTGAGCAAGCATATTTAATTGCATCATTAAAATGTTATATTCAGAATTTTCAAGAATCTCGTATTTATGAATTAGTTGTTTCTGTTCACCTCATCCTCCTGTAGCATGTGTGCATATGAAACTCAGGTATTACTGACTAGAGCATTATGGTTTTGGCTTGTAGGCTTACTAGGTAGATGACTTCCTAGGTGCATAATGTCAATCGCCTGTTACATACATAGGGATGCTACACAAAATATAAAAATGGGGAAGTTTATGTATGTGTTACGTAAGTTTATGCCACATGTTAGTATTTCTGTGTCACTTTGTGTCTGGCTGCTGTGAAGATATGCTTTTTGCCAGTCACTGAGTCACTGGCCTTGTTCAAGGTGGTGTGGGTGTTAAAACCCTTCAGTGAGCCGTATGAGGATTTAGGTCTACCAAGCATTTGCTAAATCACTAAAACAGAAAGACTGTTCCAGGAGCTTTCTGAAATTGAAATCTTAAGCTGAAGAGTGGTAGACTTTTGAACTTGAAAGTTGTTTGGGGGTTTCTGATTTTAAAAGGTACTTTTTATATAAGCTCAGTGGAAAACACTTGACTAATAGCAGGATTTTTTTAATATAAAAGGGAGACCAAAAATAGTTATTTTAGATGGCAAAAACAAGTCGGGTTCCTGCTGTGTCAGATCTTAAGACGGGATTGTAATTTTCCAAGAAGTGAAAGAAGTTGTCCATGGGCTATACTGTTCATATCAATGTCTCTCTTTGCTCTGTGGTCAGATGCAGACCTTGCTACTGCTGCCTATTCTGTTGAGGGGAAGGTTTGGAAAGCATATAAAAATATCTCTCCTAAAGACACTAGTTGTTTACCAGCCTGAACACTGGGTTGCCTGTCAACAGCTTTATGCAGAACTGCAACAGGACCTGTTGAGTGAGTGGTGTAAATTTTGGGGGCAAACACCTGTTTCCAACAAGTCAAAATTTCCAAGGTCTCCAGCAGTGAGAGAATTTCATTGGCAGAAAAACGTCTAGACTTTGCCTAGCAGTGCATAAAACCCTGGTTTAAAATTGAGAGCACACCTTGTACTGTGTAACAATAACAACTTCTTGGTGAGCGTTGACCAAGAACCAGGGTTGTGGTAGCATGGAGTGAGGCAGCAGGGAGAAGTCCCTGCCCCAGGCTGATTATGGTGCTCCTGCCCATAGGATTGTATTTAACTGCACGCTTTATCCTGGCTCTGGTTAGGGGCTGGAGATTTCTCACATATGTTTGTTTGATTTTCCCAGCAGGTGAACTTTCCTACATGAGGAAGATGCTAATAATGCTGTTCTGTGTTTCTGGTGCCATGAATGAATGTTTCCTTTAACAAAGCAAATAATTCATTGGTGTGCATAAACCAGAGCACCTGTGGTGTTCCCCACTACAGGTTCAAGAGAATGTTCTTCTGTACTCGGCATGATGTCTGATCTGTTGCCATCAGGAAGGTGGAGCTGCACAGATCCTACTGAGATGGCAGGCCTGGTCTCCAGGAGCTGCTGCAGCACGGTTGTTCTGCTTGGAGGTTGGTACAATCCTTTCCAGTGGCAGTCCAGTTGTTTCACAATGAAGCAAGCTCTCAAACTTCAGCTCAGCATAGGAACATCCATGAGTTTGGGTTCTTCCCCAGAGAAGACCTCACCCACTGTATCCATTTCCTTAATTACCACAACACCATGGAGAAACAACAAATTGCACTGGGAGTACTCGGTGTGCTTGTCAGCACAAGGAAGCAGCAGAAAGAGGAAATGTGTATGAAACCACGGCCCTGGACTGGCAAATGTTTATCTGTGCTGGTGAACAATAGCGTTTGAGACCATTTTAAAATTCTGTACAATCATCTGCTTTTTGTGGTCTGCTGCCTCACACCAGCAATTGCCTCGGTGTGCTCTTCCCAGCTTTGGCAAGGAAGGTAACGGTCCTCCTTGCTGGCTTCAGTTTGAATAATGTTGAAGTCTGGTACTCATAGCTTGTTCAGTAACTTCAGTCACTTTGTTACAAAGGACTGTAGGATGAATGTAAGATTCTCTCATCTGACTTTTTTCTAATTGCTTTTTTTTTAAGCTCTGCTTTAGAGTCATGGACTCATTAAGTGTAGAAAAGACCATTAAGATCACCCAGTCCAACCGCTAACCCATCCCCACTATGCCCACTAGCTGTGACTTTCAGTGCCCCATCCACACGGTTCTTGAACACCTCCGGGGATGGTGACTCCACCACCCCCCCGGGCAGCCTGTTCCAGCACCTGACTGCTCTTTTGGGGAAGATATTTTTCCTAATGTCCAACCTGAACCTCCCCTGGTGCAACTCAAAGCCATTCCCTCTCATTCTATCACTATTACCTGGGAGAAGAGGCTGACCCCTACCTTGCCACAACCTCCTTTCAGGTAGTTGCAAAGAGCAACAAGGTCTGAACAATCCCAATTCCCCCAGCTGTTCCTCATAAGACTTGTGCTCCAGACTCCTTGCCAGATTTGTTACTGTTCTGTGGATGCTTTCCCCAGCCTTGTTCTCATATTAGCAGAGTGTTTTGCGGAGAAGTGGGAGTTAAAATGATACTCTGTGATGTCATATGCTCTACTCTATTGCATTGTAAGCAGCTTGGCAGTTTTCTTGTTCCTCTCTAGTAGCGTTTTGTAGGGGTGCTCTTGTGAGGACACCCTTGGCACTCTGCCTGACTCCTTCCTCAGGATTTAGTGTCTCATGGCTGACTGTTTTGCTGTGTTGCAGGTATTCTTGGTAGCAGAAAGCTGGCAAGTTGGTGTAGTTGTGACCTTAGGAACTGTTACCCATGTGGCTGACCTGCCCAGTCAGTGCCACCCAAGTCCCAGAGAGATCTGTGCTGCATATAGGTAGGTTGCATGCTGTCCTTCATTCTGTGCTTTTTAAATTTTAAGTACCTTTTTTTTTTTTTTTTTTTTTAATGTCCCTGAAAGTCAGGGATTTGTAGATGCAAGGGGGAAAAACTAACTTGGTGATGAAGTATTCGTGGTAGAAAGTTGCCCATTCATCCCCAAATTCCTGTACCCAGCTCTGACTACTGGCTGCTGTGGATCCCTGCCCGCCAGCATATGACTCATCTTTGCCATGACTCAGAAATGTATTGGGAACCCTTTTTTTTTTTTTTTTTTCCCTTTTGAAAAATGAAGTGAAAGTTTATCAACCTGTACGGTTAAATGAAAGACCAGCGAGCCAAATGAGGAAGTAAACCCTTCCTTTAGAATGAGCTCTAACCTGCTCACAGCACTTGTTTGCTCTCTGCTGACTGCAGCCCTGCCTTAAGGCTCTCCATACCAGGCAGCTTCCTTCTGGCTGCCCTGAGCAGCTCCCAGTTGCCCACAGTGATGGCACCATGGGGATCGGACAGGTAACATAGGGTCAGTGGGGCTGCTGGTGGGCATGGCTCCTGGCACTGCTTGCTGCTATGGCTTCTGGGGAACGTATCACAAAGGGTGGGAGAGGAATGACGCAGATCGCTCTGTAGTCATCCGGTCTTCTTGTGGGGGTTTATGTGCATCCTCCATTTGGGAGTCTAAAACACCCCGATTTATTTGAAAGTGCAGCAGCCTATATTCTTTCTGACAAGAAAAAGCTCCTGGAAGGGCCAGGGAGTGCTGCTTGGTGAAGGTTGAATGAATTGTGGGGTGGTTCTCAGGAACAGGGGAGGGGTCAGCCAAGACTGGAATGCTGCCGTAGTGTGGAGTTGTTGCTGTGCCTGTATGTGTGGCCAAATGCATTTTACTTTCTTTATTTCTAGCTAAAACATGAAGATTATAAAAGGATTTAGAAATGACACTGAAGCTGTTCCTTCCAGTTGTGTGGGTGCGCAGAAGGGGGGCACAATACCATGGCTTTGTGGGCTGGGCACATTTGCTTGGGGGAAAGATCAGCCCAGGATCTGAAGGCTGAGTGCTGGTGGAGTGCAAAGCCAGAGTGGCTGCCCAGTGTGTCTGTGAGGGCAAGGGAAGCAGCAGGAGGAAATACAAGTAGTTTGCATATGAAGGTTGTAAAGTTTGTAAGTTGGATTTTACGACCTGCTTGCGCCTGATAGCAGAAGGTGGACTCTGTGGTGCACTGCTTCTTTTGTTGTGTTTTTGCACTGATTGTAGCAACCAGCTGACCTGTTGGACTTGGGTATGCTGCTGATTGCTCATCAAAGTATCAACCGGTGACTCTTATTCTCTGGGTTGGTTCAGCCCAGAGCAGAGGAGCTAAGGGGAGCTGTCCTGGTGGCTGCAGCAATTTGTGAGGAGAGTAGAGGAGCGGTGCTGAGCTCTGCTTTCTGTGACAGCGACAGGGAATGGCATGGAGCTGTGTCAGGGGATGGGCAGCTGGGGGTTAGGGAAAGGGTCTGCACCAGAGAGTGGAGGGCATGGAACAGGCTGCCCAGGGCAGGGAGCATGGCCACCAGTGCTGGAGTCCACAGAACGTCTGGACAACGCACTCAGACATAGGGTTTGATTTTGGGTGGTGCTGTGTGGAGCTGGAGGTTGGACTCAATGATTCCTGTGGATCCATTCTAACTTGGGATGTTCTATGATTCTATGATCACTCTTCAAGTTTCCCTTTTTAAGAGTCGCCTCAGTGCTATCTGTGAGCATGCCTTCCATCTCAGAGTTCCATTTGTGCTCTTTCTGTGGTGAAAACCCTGCAGTCGCTGCATTACCCATCGCTAACGTCTGGCCAAACAGTAGCAGAGATCCAGTGGATGACTGCAGAAAAACAGACCTGCCCAGCAGCACTGCAGAAGAGCAGCCTTCACTCAGCAGGTGCTGTTGCTGACAAATACAGCCTCTGTACCCCACAGCTAGGAACCCTCCTGGCAAAGCTGAGCCTGCATTCAGTGGAGTTGGGGACAAACACAGTGCAACAGGGTGCTAGTGTGGGAAATCACCCTGAGACAAACAACATACATCAGGACATGTGGAAATGCAGGTCAACAAAATAACACTGAGGGCTATTAAAATACACTGACGCTGTTCGTAACTTTTACTAGAGTTCTAGATTTCTTCTTCAGGAAAACACACTGTCTAAGCCATCACGAAGTGACCTGCCAGTGAATGGACTGCAGTGGTCCCACAGTCCTCTTCTTCCCAGGGAGCTGTCTGCAAGGTGTCTTTTTATAAGATCTCAAGTCTTATAGACAAAGGAACATCAAGATTTAGGTCTGAATGCCTCACTCTAGCAGAGCTTCAGAGTTTGCAGCATCTTCCCAGCAGTTTATGTTGTACTCAGGAATGACCTGCACTTGGTCTTCCATCAGTGAGGGTGATGTGAGATCTACAGGGAAGGGAAGACAGCCAGACTCGTTTCTTACATATGAGTAGGTGATGCAGCCGTAGCTCTGATACTGGTGCTATCAATAACTGCAGAGATCTAGTGAGATAAGCGTCTGTGCAAGCATGCCAAGCATGCCTGAAAAAATGTGGCTTGATATTGAGTAGTCACCACATATGCCCTTCTGCTGTCATGCTTGGTAGAGTGAAGCAGTTCTGGAGCTTACATTGCCCATCGTGGTCAGTTACTAGATAGACCAGAAATGTAAATAGTCCTGTTATGGAGAAGCTTGAGGTAGCATCCTGCTACTTCGGCACAGTCATTTCTGAGTTACAGGTGTCTTTTGACAATGCATCTAAGTGAAACTGAAACCGATTTTCAGATTTTCTTCCAACCACTACCCATGACAGCCTTCAAAAAACAAGCTGCTTCTCTGAATACAAAAACAACAGGAAAATATTAACTCAGGCATCACTGGAACAGGTGAGTGGTAGAATTTCATACGATATGTCTGTATGTACACACACAGGCACTTACTAGGAAACACAGTTCTATTAAGAAGAGTTCAGAGTTCACAGCTAAATAACGTTTCCCTAAATCACTTGGTGAGATTCGTCGTACATGTCAAGTTGCTATGGCATCTGAGATCATCCAACAGCATTCGACAGATAATTATCTGCACCTCATTAACCACACTGAGCAAATTGAAAATCCCCGGTTACACCGCCTTCTATATCATTTCCTGTGAGATAAGCCCAAAGAACAAACTTACGCATACAGTGATCCTGGGTAAAGACGGGCTTGCATAGCTTGTGAAGTAGGATGACACCTGTCTGACATAACGCCTGGAGAGTTACAAACATCACCTGGACCAGTTGACTGCTTTTATAAATAAGAGAGGATCAGGAAAACACTTGAATGTTGAGAGAAGACTGGGATAGTGCATGAGGCGACTAACTGAGCTTGCACGTTCTGCCTTAACACTTGCATTTTGTTATTTCTTATCTTTCCCCCACCTAAAGCTGATGCCTGCTGGACGAGGACGGGAAGACAGAAGTGCATTTGGAAGGAAGGCAGATGCCTGCTAGGATGGCCCTGACCAGTTCATTTTCCAGCAAGCCAGTACCGCCAGGCTCCGAAGGAGTTTCAACAGGGAGAGAAGTTCACCAGAGCAAGCTGGACTTTTTCTGTAAGCTAGGCTATGGTAAACAGGACATCTGCAAAGTGCTGGAGAGCCTGGGCCAAGAGGCCCTGGAGGATGATGTGCTCAAAGAGCTGATTCGGATGGGGAGAAAACCTCAAGCTCTGGAGAGCCAGGCTCAGCCTCCCCAACTAAAACTTGTAGCCCGTGGGTCGTGCAGCACCTCACCAGTGCCAAAGTGGCTCGGAGAAGAGGAAGGTGATTCCTCCAGTCACTTGAGAGCCATTGTGATTGACGGCAGCAATGTAGCAATGAGGTAAGCTTTGCTTTTTAGGACATCTCTTTCTCAGTAGTTTCTGAATTTTAAAGATGATGAGTTGAAGTGGGTTTTTCTCCAGGTGAGATGTCTATTGGATGTATGGTAGATGAATCACTGCTTATTCCTATTATTTGGCTGGGAACCTTTTGTGTCCATGCCCATAAATACACACACCAAATACAGTCACTGCCTTGCTCTGCATTTGACCTTTTACAAGCTCACAGCAGCTAGTGTGCTCTGTTTATGGTGGGATGATTCAGCAGCCCTTTCTCTTTGTGCTCACCACCGATATCTCCCTGCCTTTTCATGCAGTTACCTAGGGATCCCAAATGAACAGGAAAGCCCCAGTAACATAAGGAGAGGGAAAATAAAGACGGGTGGCTGTGGTTCCTAACAAAATCACAACTGTATAGTCTTGGCTTGCAACTAAATTCCACCATGGTTCTTGGCTTGTATGTTTTTTTTCTGTTTGTTTGTTTATATAGTATAAACGTCAGGAAAATTTGTCGTTGGCTTAAATCTTAAATGTTAAATTTAACATTTAAATCTTAAATGTTCTCATTTATTCATTAATTCTGTTTCTGGGAAATGTTATAGCAACTCATCTTGGCCAATTATACTTCTTAAGTAGTGTCCTGACACTGTAAAAGCACTCTGTGATGTAGAGCCTGGCATTCTCATGCGGATGAGAAATCCAAGAGCAGCAGCAGCGGCTTGGCCTCCATTCCTCTGAGCAGTGAGAACTGTCAGAGGCCTCTCCAAAGTCCAGGATGCCCTTTGTATCCACCATTTCTCCCTATGATTCCTGCTTTCTTCTGCAGGGCCAGGCCCATCCTTGCACTTTGGAATAGAGTAGAGAAGGGTTTCCTCCCTTGGTGTGAGGTGAGATAAGACTACATCCCCTCTGGTTAGAGGGTGAAAGAGTCCAGAGCAGGTGATCTTGGAAACTAAGCAAGTTATGCCATCTTCTGGAAGAAGGAAGAAATTCCACCCAAAAGCAAGGGGATCCTGAAAGAAGCTCATGACTAGTGAGAAATACACAACAGAGCAGAGCTCTTTAGCTTTAGCCAAGCCATCAGCTGGGTAGCTGGCTGCTAGACTCTCCTGCACTTCCATCCCAGACCCTCCTTGGGTTGTTCTTCTACTTCTCTGTATGCAAGGCAGAGAGGTGCTTGCCTGCCTAGATTCTTGAAGGGTAGTGCTTTGCTGTGGATTCCTTGTTTTCACCTAAACAGATTCAGAGGAATGTGAAGTAGTTTCCAGGTTCAGAAAGGCAAAGGTTTTACAGCTCCACTCAGACATCCCCATCTGCCTTGGTAAGTTAAGGAGTGTTTGGCACAATGGAGGAGACAGTGATCCTGTCAGGGTATGCAGACCCAATGCAGCCTGGAAGGAGCTGCTTTCCTGTCCAGGATGTGTAGCCTAAGCGGTACTGGCTGACATTTGCCCTCTGGCTAATGGGATGGGATGCTCATTTTAATTTTTCTGATTTGTTACTGTCAGTTGGAAAAGAGCTGTTTGCAGCATAATCAAGGAACAGAGTTGTTTGTTGGGTTTTCTTGATGGAAAAACATAAAAGTTTAGGAGAAGCAACAGTTTAGGGATAGAGCTGTCAAAATCTTGAAGCTTAGAGAGACACTTGTATGGGGAGGAAAACATCTCAAGCATTTGTATTTCTGTCTTGGTACTGGTGTTTCTGGAACACTTCACAGTTAGCAGATTTGATGGCTTATTGCATGGTGCAAGGTTTCGAAAAAGATGTATATGCCCCAAGTTCATCCATCAAGACTGAATGGCAAACGCCCTTGCCTTCAGCCAGTTTCACTAACCAGACACCTCAGTATGCTTTGCATTTCCATTAGGTATAGTTAGAAACTGAGCCATCTGCCAGCCCATGGTTTAGCTAGGCCAGTGGGGGAAATGATCAAGTTTTGGTATTGTAGAAGAGGAACAAGTAACCCTGTAACACTGAAGGGGCTATCTACTCTAGAGCTTGCACTTTTACATCCAGTTTTTAAGCTGTGACATATACAGTGGCCTTTTTTCTGGGCCAACCGAGCCTGGCTTTGTGCACTTAAGAATCACAGAACCACGGAATGGCTTGGGTTGGAAAGGACCTCAAGAATCATGGAGCTCCAACCCCTTGCCACAGGCAGGGCCACCCCCCTCCAAAAGTAAGTTTTCTTGCTTTGGCAATATGTGATTATTGTAGGGAATTAGTGTTGGAACTTGATGTTTCCTTGCCAACAGGCCTAAAAGCATCTATGAAGGTGGAACAACACAACTACAGATAGAGGAAGAAATGATGTAATTGCTTATTTTAACAAAATTAGGATATAGCCCAAGTGTCCTCTTAGGCCAGTGTCCTGTAAACCATTGCTGTACATGAATAAATGCTCTTGAAGAAGCTGTTTTAACTAAAGTTCATTTCAAAGAGTTTGGAATTGCACAACTGAAAGAGTAACCACTTTCTGCTAATTATGGAGTAATTGGTGAAATGGTTGCCTTGCTCTCTGTGCCCTCGTCAGAGGATTCTGTTGGGTCCTGGTTACCTGTAACCAAGCGATGCACTGCACTGCTGGCAGGAGGGAGAGAGCAGGGACAGAATTGTGACAGATCAGTTAAGGTCCATGGGCATGGGGTGGATTAAATAGCTTCTGTTGGTCAAGATTAATTCAATATGCAGGAGATGAGATGTTTTAAAGACCCTGTGGTATTGCATGGCAGCTGTTGGTGTTCAGTGACGTGGCAGTGCACCATGTGTATATCTACTACTGTGGCTGTGCATTCCCCACCTTTGGCTGTAGTAGCGATATGCCAAATAGATTCAGTGATAACACAGAGTATCAATGCCAGGTGCCTCTTGCTTGTTCTGTCTGCCCTTTTGATCAAATTGTTTGTGCTTGAAGTGAGTGTTTTACTTCTCACATCGGGCATAAATACAGAAGTTCTTTCCTAAAGCTGTCAGGGCTATATACGCATAGATTAATAGTCATTGTCAAAGTAAGTGTTTGATGTAGTGAACTTGATTTGAGAGCCAACATTAAAGAATGGCCTAGCCAAATGCACTAGTTTTCATTTGTAGTCAACATTTCAGCACTATACATTTTATTAGGTATAAAATGTTCCTTTTTGGTTTTGTGATCAATAGAAACACAACCTGGACGTGAATTTCTTGGGGTCAGGGATATTTAGGACTGCAGCATTTTCTTGAGCTGGTCAGTCACTGCAAGCAGGTGTAGTAACTTAGACATTTACATCCCTATTCTGTGGAATGTGAGTAGAATTGTGGTGATATTATCCAGAAACCTCAAAGTACAAGGATGAGGTTTCTGCAGTCACTGTGAGGGTGTTCATCTGTTCAGGATCTGTGTGAGGAGAGGCAATTGTGCAGAGGCAATTAACAAACTGTCTTCCCTTATATATGCCCTGTGCTCTAGTCAAGTTTTAGATAAGAGGAGGGCTAGCAGTAAGAATTGTCAATGGAGAAAAGAAGCTTAGAAATGAGGTTGGCTCTGATTGTTTCCTTTGAGAAAAAAATCCCAAAGGATCCCAATCCCTTGGGATTGTTTTCTGTTTTGTTCTAAATACTGATAATTATCCATAATCCGCCTTGCATGCATCTGCTGCAGTGCACATCTTGGGGTTTTCCTGTCTCTCTGTGCAACAAAGACAAAATCCAACAACGTGGGCAAGACAACAATGGGCATGAAGCATCTTTCTGCAGAGGTCTTGTCCCTTTTCTGGTGTCCTGGGTTAGATTCTCCATAATTCCCCTCCTTACTCTTGCAGTCTTTTTTCCCCTTTAATTTGACTGCTACTTCCGGAAGAGGTCAGCACCAAACTGACCTGCAATTGCATTAACAGCCTTTTCAGACATGAAAATCCATGTCACTGTTAGCACAGAAGAAAACCCCACATTTTATTTCATACAGGAGAGCCTCATGGGTTTCTACATGTGCTGGAAGAAACTCTCCATCCTCAAATCGTTATCAGAAGGCAAAGGATCTGACACAGCCTAGGGCTTTACTGGCATTTTAGGATCTGTGTCCAATTAGATATAGATGGAAACAACATGCTTGGTTAGCAGGCAGGTCATGGAAATTGGAGGCAGAATACTTCTGACTTCAGGTATCCAAACTTCTTCAAACATCAAGTGCCTGGTTCTGCTGAAGGAGGTATTTGAATCTATCCAACCAGGGCACCTTGCTCGGGAATGGAGCGTTGTTTTCTTGGAAAGTGATAAATGACACACAAGCACTGTGTTCTGCCTTTCCATTACTGATTCAGTTAGAGACCTCTATATGCTTCCTGAAAACTTTGCCTCAGCTTCCTCTTCCTATTTCTTTCATAGCCATGGAAACAAAGAGGTCTTCTCCTGCTGGGGGATCCGCCTGGCTGTGGACTGGTTCAGAGAAAGGGGACACACCTACATCAAGGTTTTTGTCCCCCTCTGGAGGAAGGAGCCCCCTCGACAAGACAGTCCCATTGCAGGTACGTCACCCTCCTGGGCGTAATTTGGCAGCCATTGGGTGCAGACTGCAGGCAGGGGATGTGAAGGGAACAGTATGATTTTGCCCTATAAGGTGCAAACTGTGTAAGGTCTCTGTTGCTTAAATTAGTCATTAATTCATTGTCACGTGCAGGCGAGCGATGAAAACTGCAAACAGGGCTTTGTTACTGTGCTTAGAAGTTTCAGAGCACTAATTTCTGCCATAATAAAAGAAGAACAAGTTTGCTAGCTCACAACAGCCTGCAGAGTATTTAAGGCCAGCCAGTAAACAGCATTGTGTCTGAGTAGATGTAATGTTTCACACATTTTTCAAAGGTGTGGGTATCTTTGTGAATAAGGTTTCACTATTGCACAACTGGCATCAGTTGGCCTGGTACCTGATGCAGGGGCTATGCAGCTTCCTCTGCCAGGAGAAGGATGTGTGAAGTCTGTGGAGGATGACGAGATTTGAGTTGTACAGAAATAGGAAAGGTATGTGCCTGCAGCCTGATGTCTGCAGCTGCAGGTAAGAAGGCAACAGAGCTGCCCCTCTGTGTGGCAGGAAAGGCAAGAAGCCTCCTCGGAGGTGGAGAAATGAATTTATTTTATTTTATCAGGCCCATTTCAACTTGCAGTGACACTCATACCAGGACTGGTCAGAAGCTTTCTAGCATCTACTGACATAAAAAGGCAAAGGGTTTTGCCTACCTCTGGTATAGACCTTTAATACCTTTAATGGTTAAGACTTTAAAATCAGAAAAAGGTACCTCCAATTTTACGAGTAGATGCTTTTATAAAAGACCAATTTTTTTTTTTTTTAATTGCCAAACAATTGCTAGTTTTCAATACATCTGAAAATCACGCCACTTTAAGTTTCTGAAGTTTCTAGCATGGTGGAGATCAGGTCACCATTAACTGATTCCTTCTTTGCCTATTTTTTCCCCTCTATTTCTGCTAACCGCCTCACCAGATCAGCACATTCTTGAAGAACTTGAGAAGCAATCAATCCTTGTGTATACCCCATCTCGGAAGGTGAAAGGCAAGAGGGTAGTTTGCTACGATGATCGCTATATTGTGAAGGTTGCTTACGAAAAAGATGGGGTCATTGTTTCCAATGACCATTACCGGGATCTCCAGAATGAAAATCCTGAGTGGAAATGGTTCATAGAGCAGCGACTACTCATGTACTCTTTTGTCAGTAATAGGTAAGAGAACTTGGCTGGTGAGCAATCTGTAACTTGAAGCGTATGGGTCAAGGCAGCTCAGACACGAGCGTATCTCTGTCCACCACAGTTATCTCATTTCTGTAGTTCCTTCTCATTTATCTTTGGTCTTAAAACTCCATGCCGCTCCTCAATGAAATTCTCTGCTTGAATGGCAACAGTAGTGACCAGCTTTCCTTCTTACCACTCCAAACTGGGATGTTTACCCAACACCTAGTACGTATTCTGTAGTGGTGTAACTGAATTAAATCAGTGAGGGGATGCTGGCTGAATTAATTCTAAATTCCCCTGCAAGGCAGAACAGCGCTTTCCCCTGTGCTTTTAGTATTGTGACCTTTTAGAAGAAGAGAAGGGAGAAGTTGGTCTCTCTGGCCCATTGAGTTGGCTTGGTGAGCAGGAGGGATAACGCAGCTTCCAGAGGCTGAGCTGTGAGGGCATCACCCACCTGCCCTGCTCTAAGCCTGTGCAGCAAGCTGTGGCAATGCTACTTCTGCTACTTCTGTCACTTCTCCTTTTTCAGGTTTATGCCTCCTGATGATCCACTAGGCCGGCACGGACCCACTCTTAATAATTTCCTCAGCAAAAAGCCAGCACTTCCTGAATCAACATGGCAGCCTTGCCCCTATGGTGGGTTCTTCTCTGTCCCCCCTGGGCCTTGCTTCCTTGCTGCATAGTCCTCAGCTAGGGGACAGCCCTGGTCCTGCATGCGCTCCGCCTTCACACTTGGTGTGGTAGAGGATGGGGCCAGGGCTGCTCAACTATGTGGTGCTCCCACCCCAAAACAGCTTTAATGTAATTTGAACATCTGCCCAGTGTTTGAAAGCCACCCTTTTCAGCAGCAGATTTCCCGGTCCATTGAGCACTGCAACCACAAGACATGTGAACTTCAGACACTGACAAAATAGACCTAAATAGACCTTTACGCAGAAATTTCCCTCTGCTGTGGTTGCACCCTGCTATTTCAGTCAGCAACATGCAAATGTGGGGTCAAAAGTGATAGGGGGGAAAGCAGTGCTTCCTCTCTGTGCTGTTTTTGCTCACCAGAAGCTCCTAGCTGCATGGTCCTTGGGGATGAGCTCCTGTTTGATTTTTTTTTATTCTTTCAGGTAAAAAATGCACTTACGGTAACAAATGCAAGTTTTACCATCCTGAGAGGCTGCATCAAGCTCAGCTGTCAGTTGCTGATGAGCTCAGAGCCAGAACAAAAGTGCCCATGAGCATGGGGAAGGAGGAGGAGGTGTGCAACTGCTCTCCATATTGGACTGGCAGAGAGCCTATGCCTCACAACCCTGTCACAGAAATGCCACAGGGAGCCAGCAGGAGCATGAGGGCTTCTTGCTATGCAGCGTGGTCCCCAGACAGATACCAGCCAGCTGATGCCTGGGCCATCAGATCCAACTCTGGCCTGGAGCTGGACGGGAAACCACCAGAAGTCCTCAGAGGCCATCCCCTCGTGGAAGACATGGCAGCGCTCTTCATCAGTGACAAGGTGTACTCTGGAAACAGACCAGCGTGCACCTCAAAGGACAAAGATGTGTCTGACAGCCCTCATAGCTGTTGTAGCCTGAGGCACAACCCCTTTCTGCTGCACCACTACCACCACTGCTTGGACTGCACCTGCTTACCAGGGAGCCCCTTCCAGCACTCAGTGATCCCACCTGCTCCAGGCAGGCACCAGGAGCACTGCTGGCCCCAGGAGTGCTGGTCTGATGGGTCCCAGTCTGGGCCAGTCCTGGAGGCACAGCAGCAGCAGCACCTTCCTCCATCCTCTGTGATGCCTCTAGCTGAGCCACTGCAAGTTTACAGAGAGAGGCCCCAGTGCTGTTTCCCCAGCCACCCCTTTCTGCTGGATGCCAGCAGCACGCCTGACTTCTTCCAGAAAACCTCTGCTCAGCCCAGTGCTGCTTACTGTGGTTATTGGCCACCCCATGCTGCAAGACCTCCTGCCCAGCAAACGAGTGTCCACAGGGAGCTGTGCACTATTTTCCCCTGTGCCGAAGTGAATCGAGTCATGGCACTGTACCCTGAGATCAAGGATATCGCTAGCTTGACATTACTGATTCAAAGACACAGAAACTTGTGACGTCTCCAGGTTAAACCTTTCCCACCAAGTGCAGAGCTGCTACTCTCAGGTTTACCTGAGTGTTACCAAAGGGCTTTATGAGTTGAGTTACAGCTGATCAAGTAGCATGCAGCTGAGAGTCAACCAGTTATGATGCATGGGGCATTGAGTCAAGACAATTGCTGTGGTTCACAGCAGTAGGATCTTGTCTACTTCACTTGGGAGTGAGTAGGAAGCCTTGAGTTTAATAACTGAGCTGCCAGCATGTGAACCTCATGTGTTTCTAATATTCTAAAGTGCTGTTTAAATACCACCAAGGAGCTGTTCTCCGTGGGTCCCATTAAAGGGATCCTCATAACATTTATCACGACTAGTCTGCTCAGCTAGCCGAAAAAAAAAGTGATTTGGCATATTTCCCCTAACATGGGGCTGTACTTCCTGCTAGAAGGCATCTTTGGGCCCATGTAATTACCTGATGGCTTTAATTACAAAGCAATGGTGTCCTAGACCTTTAAAAAACCCAACTAGTGTTTATGAACCAATGCTGTGAACCCACAAGATTACTAGTAGAGGTAGCAAAGAAAGACCCCAGAGTGCTTAGAAGCAGCTGCAGGTATGTTTCTCAGGGCTCATGCACAATAAGTCAAGTGAGGGAAGTTCTCCATAATATAAGTAAGTCCTATTGCAGTCTGAAAGCTCAGGGCTGTTCTTTGAGTTAACATAGAAGATAGCAAAGGAAAATGATAGTAATAGTAGCTCTGGACTGCTTCTGTAGTAAACAAGTAAAAAACAGTAAACTAGTAAACAAGAAAAAACATTGTTGAATTAACCCTTAATTACCAAACGTGATCCCATAATGCCACTATACAGATGATTTATGATGACAAATATTAAACTCTATTCTGCTGGGACTTGTTTGATTTTCAGTAAGCTGTAAAGCTATTCATCTTTGTGTTATTCCACTGAATTTTTTTTTTTTTTAAGTTAAAATTCAAGTGTTAAGGTTGATCCTGAATGTTTTTTGGCATTTTACCAAAGTTTAAGTATGTCAGTATGACAGATCTTAAGAATTATTTACTATGTTATAAAATGAACGCCTAGAACACTTTGCTCTGAATATGTTCTGTTTTTTTATTCATTCCTTTTAGTGCTGATGGATAATTAGGTCCAACATTTAGGTGGCCTTTACAGAATCTCATATGCATTAGAGAATCTCTAGTGGGTTCTTCTTAGAAGTACAGTCAGGCAATAATTAAACCTAGCTCGCACTGAATGCTCTTGGCTTGGAAAGGAGACCAAGCAGAAGTAATTTACCTTTAGTGTCACTGTCACATGATGCATTTTTTGTATTTGTGAGAAGATTCTTCAGGAAATAAACCAAATCAGCTGATTCTCTTTTAGTCATGTGGTGGCTGACTGAGAAGGCATTGTAAAAGAATGTGGAAGTGTGACCACAAATATCTTTTTCCATATTACATGACTTTCCCACTAATTATAGTCATTGTAAGTTTCTGTATTTGTTTATTTTTTTTTTACGTAAATCACCTCCTTCAGATTGCTGTGTTTTGGCTCATCAGAATAGCTTGCAGTATCCTCTGGAAAATACACAAAGATTAGAAACTCGTTAAACCAAAATCATGGAATATGTGAATTGGTTTGGAAAGTATTTGAGGTCTACAGCCAGCGTTAGTTTCCATGAAATATGTCACACTTTAGCATAATGAATTCATGAATCAATTGTGAATATTGTGCCCACTGAAGGATGGGCTCACTGGATGGCCCAACGTCCTGCACCAGAGCTTCCCGTCATGCCCAAGCACATCTTCACACTGAAAGTGCCCTGAAAGCTCCTTCCCCATACAAACAGCAAGACACAAAGGACAACATTCAGAAAATACACAGAAAGCAGTGGAACAGGCTATAGCCATACATGTCATCACTTAGTGGCTTTATGTCTGGAAGGTAGGTTACATATTTCAATATAGAGAGCATTTGGAAACAGGAAACTTGGCACAGTGCCCTCTACATAGTGCCCTGGGCTTGCTGACTACATGTGTGTAAGCTTTTTCTCCTTTTTCCTCAAGAACGCTGAGGAATTTGGTCCTCATTCAAAACTCTCTCCTGTTAAATACCTTTTTTTTGCTTTCATTTCTGCCTTATTTACTGTGCAGCCTCTCAGTAAAACACCCAGAATATGCATTCTGTTAAGAAAGTGTCTGAGAATATAAATCAGACTTCAGTGCTAAACAGAACTTGACTTCTCTTGGCTCATCTGCTCAGAGAGATTTTTCTCATGAAGTTTTTGTTTCAAGGGCAGCACAGCAGCAGAGTTATGTCATTGAGTGCTGTAGAGAAACTCTGCCCTTGGCAAAAGGCCCACGGCAAGCACAAACCATTTTATTATTTCACCACTGAGTAAGCATCTGGGACGAGGGGCCTTCTTCTGCAGCCTTTTATACTCTCCAAGACAGTAGGATTGCTTTCTGGCTTGAGAGTGAAGGGAAGGAACTGCTAACAGGAAGGAATAGGTAGCTCTCACACACACGTTATGGACAGCTGTTGCCATTTGGTGTCTCTGCTGAGATGCATTCGAGGGCAGCTCTGGCTTGCCAAGTTGAGAATGAATCCATAAATCCCTAGAGGCTGAAAGCCTCTAAGGCCTTTGCTTTTTGGTTGTTAAGACAAAAAGAAGAAGATTGAAGCAGTGGGAGCGATCCTCCAGGAGATGAGCTGCTTTCCTAAGGAAGATTTACAAAGTTTTGTATTTATTGTTAGACTGGTAAAAAACCAAAAACAAACAAAATCTAAACCGACAACATAGAAGGGAAGTCTCTTCTCTTCTTCACCCTTTCCCAAAAAGCTGGGAAGCCATAGGCACACTCCTCTGTGAGTGGCCAGGGAAACTGATGATCAGTGTCCCTCTGAAGAACTGTGGGCATGTCTGCAATGTGAGATGGGAATGAGGCACCATCCTGCCCAGCGCTGCTGCCAGAGCTGCTGGCCCTCCCTCAGCTTTCCCTGTGCACGTGTTCTTTCTCTCATTGCACGTGGGACTGTGAGCTTACGAACAAACTGATTCCTGCTGTATGAAGGGCTCTGAAGAAGGTAATCTTCAGATATTCTCAAGAGGCTTATAACTATTTTAGCTCCTCAGAAAGTGGCACAATTTGTAAGTAAACGCTGAACAGATTCATAAGCACAGAAGTAGAAGGTTATGTGAGTCATGGCGTCTCTCCTACTTGACTACACTGGATTGCTGGGAAGGAAAGGCAAAGGCCTGTATCTGAGTGCAACAGACCACCTCTGCAAGCTAGAAAAATGAATTCTGGTGACAGCCTTTGACAAATGGACACCTACCATGGCTGACTCGTAGAATTAAAAAGGTTGCAAAAAACCCCTAACATCACCTAGTCCAACTGTGCACCTACCACCACCAGTGCCTGCTAAACTGTGTCCCTAAGTGCTACATAACCCTTTCCTTAAACACCTCCAGGGATGGTAACTCTCCCACCTCCCTGGGCAGCCTGTTTCAGTGCCTGACCACTCTTTCAGAGATTTTTTTTCCCCCAAAATCCAATCTGAACCTCCTCTGGTTGGAGGTTGTTTCTTCTAGTTCTATCACTAATCATGTGGGAGAACAGGTTGACTCCCACTTCACCACAACCCCCTTTCAGGCAGCTGCAGAACAATCCCAGCTCCTTCAGCTGCTCCCCTTAACAGTTGTGCTCCAGGTGCTTGAGAGCTTCATTGCCCTTCCCTGGACACGTTCCAGGGCCTCAATGTCTTTCTTGTAGTGAGGGGCACAGAACTGAGCATAGTACTCAAAGTGAGGCCTCACCAGTGCTGAGTACAGGGCATGATCACCTCCCTGCTCCTGCTGGCAACACTATTTCTGATACAAGCCACGATGCCATTGGCCTTCTTGGCCACCTGGGCACACTGCTGGCTCGTGTTCAGCTGACCATTGATCAAGACCCCCAGCTCCTTCTCCTCTGCACAGTCTTCCAGCCACTCTGCCGCTCAGTGAGCTGCACCACTGTACTGACTTCTTGGCAAAATGGCTCAAAGCCAGGAGGGATATTCTTAAAAACTGTTCTTTTCAGCTGTGAGATGAAGTGCGTTGTGTGTTTTCTGAGAGAATACACTGCTGACCTACCACAGGTGAAACAAAGCTGTAGACACGGCCGCGTGTGAGAACAGCACACACAGAGCAGGAAGCCGTGACGACTCATGCAGGGTGCACAGGCTGTTGGACACAACTCACACAAGTCACAAGTCAGGCAGTGCAGCTCCACTAATGGTACAGGAGTTACTGGTGGCAGATCCCTCTTGCCACATGAAGTCCTCTTCTTCCCAATTTTCTACTCCCTGTCTTATTCGACTCCGTAAACACCTTCACTGGAAAGTTCCTGAGTCACAAAACAACTCCATGTTCACTGCTATCCCCCATGCTGCACAGATACCATGCATCCCCCACCTGCTGCCACCTCAGGCCCTGACTTGGTGCTCCTTCCTCCTCCTCCTCCTCCTCCTCCCCCCAGAGCAGCCACTCACCATTCCTTACTGCACCACGTGCTCCTCCCTCTCACCTCCTCCTCTCCTTCCCCCCTCCTCCAGGAGTTCTCACCCCTTTTCTTCAGTCTTGGAAATTTCTGCTGTATCCTTCGCCGGATTCTGTCTTCTCCTAGCTTAGATAGAGTTCAGCAGCGTGGCTTTTTTGTTTTCTTCTTTAAACTTGGCATGGATATCCTCACCCTGGCAGAGGCATGATGTGCTCAAGCTGTTTTCCCATCCTGCCTTAAAACAATCCTATCAGCAAAAACTTTTTATGCATGGAGACAGAGATCCCATTCAACCCACATTTGCTTATGCTGACCTTACAGAGCTTTCTCTGAGGACAAATGGAGTGGTAGCGGAACCTCAGCCATCCTACATTTAACTACAATAAATTCTAAAACTCACATATCCTTTGCCTGCAGATAGATAAGAATAGCTTAGGAGAACTGAGGACCAACCAACATTTGCTGTATAAGCTTTCAGGAAAAATGCAGGGGGAATGCAGAGTTTTTTACCACTTCAAATTGTAAATAGCAAAATATACTTCATAACTAATACCATGTTCTGCAACCTCATGGAAACTGAACACGTAAATGCCATGATAGCTGGGCAGAAGCAGCCCATCTGACCATTACTCCAAAAGCAGGGCTAAAGGGATTTTAGCAGGGAAACAAGCTTGAATGTGATTCGTTATTGCCAAAAAATACACAGCCATTGGCAGACAATTATAAATGTTACTCAAAACTATCATCGGAATGAGAAATACTGAGTTCTCCCTACAGGAGGTCCTGTTAGGGAGAGGCTGAAGGGAATACAGAAGCTTGTAAAAATGTTATTTCCAGCAGGGAAACATTCTCGGATAAGAACTTCAGCATCTGAACATCCCTTTGCTCATCATGCCTGGCTCTGTAATACATGACATGTGGTGGGGTTTGGAGCCCTGTCTTCATTTAAAAGAGCAGATGGAAGATCTTTAAGCCTTTGGAGCATCTTTCTCAAGTTAGAAGGGGCACGTTTAAGCCTTGCAGTGGAGGAAAAAAGTTGTGGTCGTCAGTTTAACTGAAGTAAAAATAATAGAACAGAATAAAAAAAAAAGGGCAGAGAATCAACATTCTACGTGAGCTTAAATTAAAAAAGGAAGCCGTATGCTGCAGTGATTACGTCTGTTTACCTTTCATGCTGTTGCAAACACAGCTGGAGGTGCTATCTGCGAGATGCTATTTAGGGCAGCATCCGCACTTGGATGTTCTGATGTTCGTATTTGTCCGATGGAACTCATGCACAACGGAGAGCCGCAGTACAAACAGAAGGAGGATGCGCCTAGGAACTGACGTCTGACGGGCGTACACCAACCGGCCCACAATAAAACCGTCTCTGAGAGCACGATGGCCGGCTCCACCACCAGGTGTCGATGTGGAAGCGCCAGAAAAGCAGAGCCTGTGCTGGAGGGCTGACTGCCATCAGCTCGCCCCATCCGTGCACCCAAGTCCCACTGACAGACCCGTTCTTTATCGTCAGCATGCAATAGGCACGGCTGAGGGCAGCGACCCATACTTGCTGCCTTTAGCTCCGGGAGAGCACTAGAAATCGCAGAAGGCTTGCTGCACAAACGTGGAGAGCCAAACTCGGGGTCATCCCAGGGACGGGGCGAAGGAATGGGGCACGGCACTCGATCCCCCCTCTGCTTTGCTCTGGCCCTGCTGGCTGTCCTGCTGACATCCACCGCGTGGGTTGGGTTTGTCTTGGCGGGCGCCCAGGTGCCGCTGCCAGGCTTCCCTCTTAGGGCAGCGCTGGGAGAGTCACGCCGGGTTAAGTTTAGAGTTCCAGGTTGGC